TTATAGTTTATATGGTGAATGGATATGATTCTCCACAGGCTTCCCACGCTCTTGGTTGTTCTTGTACACTTACAGCTATTTTGATGGGTACAAGATACCTTGCCCTCAGAGGTTAGGAGCTGGTTTGCAAGTTCCCACAACAGTGACATGTGACAGGGGCCATCTTTTCAGCTCCATCATTTTCTAGCCATCTGTAGAGAAATATCTAAGTTGCCCCACCCCCACACCATGGTGTATGTAAACATGTGTGCACATGGGTTCAGAGACGAGGCAGATGCCAGGTGTCCTCTACTGTCACTCTCAGCTTATTCCTTTGAAACAGTCTCTCCACAAACCTGCCAGCTGATAAGCCCTAGTCTCACTCCTCACTCCTGTCTCTGTCCCTGCCCCCTGTATTACCAGGATTTCAGGAGCACATGAGTGCATGCTCAGCTCGTTACCTGGGTGATGGGATCTGAACTCAGCCTCCTGTGGTTGCACAGAAAACCTTCTTAAGCTGAGAGATCTCTCCAGCCCATTTCTTCTGTTTTTTAATGACATACTTATTTGGTCTTAAAATAACAACAACAACCCAAACCAGTCAAACACCAAACAAACAAACAACAGTTTGTTGGAGAGCTGCACACTTCCCCAAAACAGAAACCAAACAACCTGTTACACAGACAGTCACAGGTTCTGTTCTAAATTCACAGTCTGTTGTCACCTGTGGCTTCCCTGTCACATCTCTGGTTCTCCTGTCCTGTGAGGCTTTGTTTCCCACCAGTGGCTAGAACCTCCTGCCCCTGCAGAAGCAATGCTGCTCTAGACCCACACAGCCACCTTGGCTTCACGGTTTGGCCAAGTGTTAGAAGCCTGCAAACCACAAGGCCAGACTTCTGCCTCCAAATTCCTCCCTTCTTGGAGCTAAAACATGAAGGTTGACTTTTGTGATTTCCAACCTTTATAGACATCACCACCTATGCAGTTGCTGCCGCCACCACTGCAGAGCTTCTTTCCTGTCCCCATTGTCATAGTCACTCCTGCCGTAGCCCCACTCACCACTACCACAGCCTCTGTCTCCTCCAGAGTAACCAGGACCACCTACCCCATAGCCACTATCATTACCAAACTCAGGAGAGCCATCTACACTGCCGCCATGTCCACCGACACTCTGGTCCTGGAAGTTTCCTCCGTGACCAAGATTGCTACTGTCACCCAAGCCATCTATACAGCCACTGCCAGAGTTTCCAGAAGAACCAAGTGGGCCCACATGAAGCCCTGGGCATCTCAGGTGTTACCAGGGCTCTCCTCTCCACTTTCTCTGTCAAAGTGACTATTGACAGTGAGGCATTTCTGAACGACAACCTTGTCCACAGAGTCTTGGTCCTCAGAGGTGATGAGCATAGTTGTTTCTTTCCCTGATGTCTGTCACGACTCCAACCACCACACTTTCCCTTGCCGTGACTTTCCTCAGTGGTGGCCAGGGTGATGGCAGACAGGTCAATGGCTTACAGCAGGACTGATGGCTGTAATGACAGAGGTGACCTTGGTTGTGGTCATTGAAGGAAAGATCTTTTCCACAGTTAGAAGGTCACCTGGTCTTTGAGAATTTTCTCTCTGCCGCTGTTGACTTGCTTTTCTATACACATTGTGTGGCTTTGCATTCACAGCTTTGTCTCCCTCCAGCCCAGTGGTGACAGTATGTTCCCTGTGGTTTCTCATTCAGAGGTGGTTTTAAAGACCCACCCTCTGATAATAGCTTGTTTCCAAACTTGTTCAGACTCTTTAGACCAGACAGCAGGTTGCCGAGAGCTTTCAATGAGACCCGGGTCTCATCCGCAGGCAAAAAGTGCTGTTCCCTTCTTATCTGGGTCATGTCTTATTGAATGGCAGCAGTTCTTTACATATTCTGGATCCCATGCCCTTACTAGGTATATGACTTGCAAAGCCCCCCTCCCCTTCTCAGCTTGTCTTCTTAGCCTTTTGCCAGGGCCATTTGCTGAGCAGGAGATTGTGTGGGTTGCTCATGGTTTTGCTGTCCAGTCTAAGTCTCCATCCAGGTAAATGTGGGCTTTCTGCCAGGTTCTCATTGGCTGGTTGCTGTTAGGGATCTTGTAGATAGGTCCTTCCGTGAGCTTATGGAGCTCTTACACACTCATGTGGGTGAGACATGTGGCAAGGAGTGGCCAGGTGCACCTGTCGGGATAACCGTTTTCTTAAAGACATTGTGTGAAGCTGTGTCTCTATGTTTTCAGTTGTTAATTCTGAACTGGCAGAGAGCAAAATTCTAGCAGGATCTTAGTATTGCCATTTCTATGGCCCACCACAGCCTTACATTTGTAAATACTTGTCCTTCCAAATCTGTTCAGATACTTAAAGGTCAAGCAACGCTCTATGCCTAAAGGCAATCTAGAATTTTATCTGAAGTTGTCTTGCTGTTGATTGGTTGTTATAAAGATCTGAAGGCCAATAGCTGGGCAGGAAGTAGGAGGAGGAACTTCCAGGCAGAGAGAATGCCGTAGGGTAAAAAAATGTAGAGAGAGTGGACTTGGAAGGAAACAAGCATGGACTGCAGCGGAGTAGAGGGTTTAGAGCTAGTCATATAGCTATCTATCTATCTATCTATCTATCTATCTATCTATCTATCTATCTAGTATAGTATGGATAGATTGTGGGCAAAGATAGCCAGGCTAAGTTAGATGAGCTAGTGGGGAGATTGCCCAAGCAAAAGGCCTAAGCTTTAAACTATATAAAAGACTCTATATCATTATACTGGTGGCGAATCTGGGAAAGTCCCGCTATATGTACCTGGATATACTTAAGTAACCACCACCCAAGCTAGGACCAAAACCACACCCAGCCTCTGCAGACATCTTCCTGTCACCGCAGGATAGCCACCACCTCTAACAGTCCCTCCCAATCGGACCCTGATAAACCCGAGTCCAGATCCTCTGTGCTGGCATCTCTCCTTACTGTCTGCATCCTCTGTTCTTTGTTCAAAGCATGAGGGTTGGGGGGATAGGTGACTATATGATCTGCACCCTGGAGTCAAGGACTTTCAGGTAGAGTTGGGAGCCCTCAGGCCCAGTCTGAAATGTGTGTACTTGGGGGCCCACTGGGCATCTATCTCAGCTCCACCGTCTTCCCACAGGATGATCTTACTCAAGCTGCCTTCCCAAACCCCATGCCTTTTATGTCAGTGAAGGCTGTGATATACCCAAATAACTGCCACAGAACTGAAGGGGGCTCGTATGTGTGGAACTGAATAGTGTGTGTACAGTGAAGCAAGTCACAGACATGGCAGCAACTGTTACAGGGGGAAATCCAGTCTGTCACCTCTCTCTGTGTGTCCCTGTCTCTCCATCTCTCTCTCTTCCTCTCCCTCTCCCTCTCCTTCTGTCTCTCTGTCTTTCTGTCTCTCTAGTGTGCTTATATCTCTGCGGATGCAGCTCATGTGGGATACCTGAAGAGGACAGGCTAGCCTGGAGCTGGAGTTACAGACAGTTGTGAGCTGCCTGACTTGGGTGCTGAGAACCGAACTCAGGTCCTCTGGAGATCAGTAAGCTCTCTTTACCAGAGATCCAGCTCTCCAGCCCTGAGCCTAGTGTTTCAGAAACTTCCCACCAGTGTCTCTGTCTCTCTCAATTCACACATGGACACAGATGGGCATGCAGGGTTTGTTAAGCCTGGGGCTGCCACAGATCCTGCTGGGAGGAGGTGTGGGGAGTTGAGTGGGGGGAAGGTCACAAACTGGGGAACATAAATTCTGGCAATAAGATTACTTTTCTAAAAATACAGAGCAGTTTTTTGATCTTTGCTCATAGCCCTAACCACAGTGCCTCCTGCCCACTCACAGTGCCACCTGCTGCAGTCACCAAGTGAGCTTGACCCTTACCCTGTTTTCAGACTGGCACTGGAGATGACCAATGTCCATGAAACACCTCAGTCCTGGAAGGGCCCAGGCACCCAGCCCTGCCAGCAAAGCTTAGTGTGTTCTGGGAAGAAGAAGCCTGGACATTTGCCAAGCAGTGAGGAGTGGATTGGAAGGGATAGGAGTCTTCCCGATGCCTCCTCTGAAGGAGGTGTCTTTGGGAGAAAACAAACCCAGGGCCGGGACTGGGGTCGGCCACCATGGGTGGGGTTGGTCCTCTGTGCCTTGAGGATTCCTTTGCCCAAGACATGAGCATGAGTGTGGGCTGAGCTGGTAGCTGGGAGGGAAGCTGCAGAGTAGCTGTCAAGGCCTACACAGGAGAGGAACACAGGAGAGCCTCCTCTCCCATATGCAGAGGCCTTGGCCTACTTTTTTCTAGGGAAAACACAGGCAGGGGAAGGGAGTGAGGTAAGGTGTTTTTAAGATCCCTCCACCCCTTCCTGTTCAGGAAGGTGACAATTAAGATTCAAGTTCAGGAGCGGGCGTGGTGCCTCTTCCCGGTTTAGGATGCTGGGAGATGCGGGCGTCATTTCTCACACTTAGCAACAGGCCCACCTGCTGTAACCTGGGAACAGAGCTCACTCTTGAGAACAGTGGAAATAACATTTTAGGACTTTTTTTTTCTTGGCACTGTGAATAAGTAAGCCAGAGGCGAGAAGTTACAATTAGTGTAATCTATTTATTGTTTCAGGATTAAAATGTATAATCTAATTGAATGGTTCTTAAGAATTACTAAGCTAGGAAGAGTCGATTGAGCAAATTGAGGACTGCAGAGATCAGAACAAAACCAAAGCAAAACCCCTAAAGCTATCTTCCCGCTCCTGTTACCAGAGAAACGAAGCTGCCTCCTTCTGCCTCCAGTCCTTGCTGCCACCTCTTGTCCCCTGGGACACACAGAGGTGAAGGGACCAGGCCCTCCTTTGACCCCTCAGATGCCCTGGTGTCCCCTGTCTAGCCTGTGCAGCTCTGTAATCCCAGTGGCTCCTGGGCCTTTGATGTGCTCCCCAGATGTGTGCACGGACCCTGCACACCAAGGACTGCTGCGAACCCACTGCAGTGGCAACACTTACGTGCTTTGTGTTTTCCCCAGGCTGGAGAGAAGCACTACCACCCTTCATGTGCGCTATGCGTCAGGTGCGGCCAGATGTTCTCAGAGGGCGAGGAGATGTACCTGCAAGGTAAGCGTTCGGGTGTTGCCTGGCATACACTGTGCTGGGAGTGAAATTAGTCATGGTGCTGCTAGGAGCTGGCACTGTCACACACACACACACACACACACACACACACACACACTGTGATCTCTACTCAGTCACAGCACCATTGAAGGCGTGAGTAAGCCTGAGTGAGTGAGATCAGGCCGCTGAAGAGCAGGCTGTGAAATTGCAGCATGGCCCTTAGGCCTCATCTCCGCTCCAGGACTCACAGACTTTTAGTCATGCCTCACCTGAGCCTTGGATTGTGATGCCCTTGTAACGCTGCAGCAAGACCAGACTTCCTTCCTGAAGTGTGGGGAGAAAGCAGCTTTCATAACATCGAAAGCAGAGGGAAACTGGCAGACAGGAGCCCTCTAAGGCATTCATGGGAAACCCACCCTCTCACCTTTAAAAATCATGTTGAGAGGGCTGGTGAGGTTGCTCAGTGGTTAGAGACTCATTGCTGCACAAACCTTATGACCTGAGTTCCATCCCTGGAACCCAAGTAAAGGTGGAAGGAGAGAGCTGAGTCCTCTGAGAGCTGTCCTCTGACCTCTACGTGTGCACTATGAGACTCATGCCCCCACATATTACCAATAAAATAAAAATAAATCACAATAGTTGTGTCAAGATGGAAAATAACGGTGACACAGCTTAGCTACCTTCATGGCTAAGTCTCATTCTAGAGCCACGTGATGTTTTATTCCCTAAAATAGAACGAGTGTCCCACAGCTGAGCGAAGGCATGATGGTGCAGACCTAGTGAGACTGCTGATGGCAGGGGTGGCAGGTGATGGCATTGTCGGGTCACTTCCTGCCCCGAGGCAGTATGGGAGACAGAGCAACCAACTGATGCAGGCTGGTGGATTAACACCAGTCATACAGGCTGCTTAGGAGCATGCCGGCCTAGCAGGCCCGAGGCAGAGTTTATGGCTATCCCTTTCTAATCCTGTCTCTTAGAAGGTCAAAGAAACAACATGGTTTCACCTTAAAACTCTACTGGATATGACGTCATTTGGAATGATGTCATTTGGGTAAAAGTGTTCAGTAGTGACCTGGTGCAAGCTTGGTCAGAAGTCATAGCCTCAGCAACAGTCTACATTAGACGTTACAGTTTAATAAAGGAGAAGGGGTCTTTGGGGCTCCTGGGCTGGAGACCAGGCCAGGCCGCACAGCTGTCTGGCGTCTCCTCCCAGATGAACCCTTTCAGACAGTGTCTTGTGGTTGTCATTAAACTCCAATCAGAACACCCAGTGTTCCCTCAAGTCTTTCTTGTTGGTTGACAGAAGAGTAGGGGAGGCAGTGCGCCTTGTAGGGGAGAAAAATACAGTGTTCTCTTCACCCTTGGGGACCCCTGTAAGGGAAGGTAAGCGAAGAGTAAAGGGCAGACAGAAGCAAATGAATGAGTGTCCCTTGTGTATGGACTGGAGAGTCAGGATGACAGTACATCTCCAGGGTGGATCTCAGAGGGCAGCTTTGATTTTCTGGCTGACATACCACATTCTTAGCCAAGAGAAAAAAATGTCGGGAAGATGTCAAATAGAGGAAGGAGACCTAATCACAGCTTCCCAGTGATGGGATCCTGCTGACTCCCCATCTGCCAGGTGAGGTGTACTCCCCTACAGTGACTTCTATACAGATTTGCACTTCCCCTCTGCAGTAGTCTCCTTTCTGTCATGTCATTCTTGAGTTTTCTGTGTCCCCAGGTAACCAGCTCAAAGTGATCTTTCTGCCACAGAGACCATGGCTGACACATGCCGCTGCTGGCCACATGTTGGAGTAGCATGTTCTGAACCCCTTGATCTTAAGGGAGAAACTATAATATTCTAGTTTCATTTCTGCTGTTGTGATTAAAAAAAAATCCTGATCATAGAGGAGAAAAGGGCTAATAGTTCATGACTCTAGGTTGGCGCATTATTGTGGGGAAGTTGAGGCAGGAACTTAAAGTAGTCAGTCACGCCCACAGTCGGGATCAGAGAGAAACGAATGTGCACGTGCTGCCTGCTTGCTTAGCACTCAGCTAGCCATCTCTGCTCTTATACAGCCCAGGACCCAAAGCCAGGGAATGACACCCCCCATGATGGGCTGAGTCATCTTACATCAGTTAACATGTAAGACCAACCTGAGCTAGACAATTCCTCAGGTGAAACTATTCTCGATGATTCTAGGTTGTGTCAAGTGGACAAGGAAAACTAACCAGCACATACGTCTAGGGTGGGTATCCTTACTGAAATCAGAGCAAGGTTGTCACCAGAGATGAACAAAGAATGTCACCCAACAGTAAAGGTGGCCAGGAGGGAAAGATTTTCAGTGACTTGCATTATTCTGGCTAAAACTGGGCTAAGTAGGAGCAGAGGTCAAGGACTAGACAAAGGTCACAGCCTTGTCTAGATTGATTGGAGTTTAAAGAACAAGGAACTGTGTCTTCCAGTTCCTACTGAGTGTTGGGAACAGATAGGACAGTCAGGCTAGCCCACCTTGCAGAGCAGCAGCCAGAGGGAGATGGTGTGAGGCCAAGGGACCCAGATGCACCAGCAGCAAGGCTCAAAGTGCTGATTGGAGGAGGTGTGGTCAGGACTTGGCTTGCCCGCAGATGAATGAGTGAATAGGAAGACAGTAGAATAGCCAGTCAGGAGCCTACATCTAAGCTGAGGGTGACAGAGAACTGGCTAAGCCTGGTGAGCTGGTCCTTACCAGACTAGATGCAGCAAGAGGAGAGAGCTTACCTCTCAGTCCTTGCCCAGGGCTAGCAGGAGATATAGAAGCAGGTGAGTTGAAAGGTTTTGCTTTATCCCAGAGGAGATGATCAGGGGACATTGGCATGAGTGAGATGCCAGGGACTAACAGTAGGGTGGGTGTGATCTGTGGGCTAAGTGAGGATAGCTTGTGTTGCTATTTCATCTCTTTGGGCACTGATTCTTTCTCCTGGGGTCGCAGGGGCAGTGGAGCAGGGCTAGGCAGGGTACAGATGTGGTAGCAGGTTAGGTGGTGTCCACAGACCAGTGCTGAGTAACGACAGAGAGGCATCCCACTCTGTGTGTCAGACAGGCCTCCCTTTTCTGAGGCACACCCTGGGATGATGTCAGATCATCCCCACTGTCGCCTGTTGTCCCCAAGGCGAGATCCTGAGAATCAGGCCAGCCACTGTGGCTGCCCAGTTGGAGGCCCTCTGCAGAGGCTCCACTGTAACCATAAATGGAGCCCTTAGACAGAGGGGTGGCTAATGCCAAGCACGGACAGTGGCTTTGGGACACGTGCTCACATGGAGGTGCCGTCATCTCAGAAAACAAAGATTCCCTTCACCAGTCTGAGCTAGTCCAATCATTGCATTGGGACCTGTCAGGGCTTTTTGTGTTAAGGAATCCAGCCTGCCCTCTAAGGCATGGGTTTTCCACACCGTAATGAGGGTCTGGCCAGGCTAGTAGCACTTATTTCAGCTCCGGGAAGCTGAAGCCTATGACTAGGGTCTTGTGTGGAAGCCAAGCATTCCTGGCCACCCTGAGGTCCTCTGTTTGGCTCCCCATACCTGCTGTCTGTGAAGGTGATGTCTGATGTGTTACTGATGCTATGATCAAAGCTCTGGCATGTGTGGGTGCTGTGACCCTCATGGTGTCCTAGCTATGAGAATGTCTTCCCCAGCCCCACCTCTGTACTTGATTCTACCTCTGAGAATATCCCTCTGGCCATCTTAGGCTGAGCTGTGTGCCCACACTCTCTGAAACCCCCATGGCTAACCTTAGGAGTGACTGGCCCACATTAGGAAGTTCTCCCCTTTCCCTCATGCCCTTGCTTCACATGAGCCAAGCTGCTCCAGCCAGGTGCTATGATCTCAGTGTCACAGAGGGGAGGCGTGGAGCCTGTGCAAAGGACACTGAGCAGGTATTCATGCATTGACTGCATATCCAGAACTATGCTCTGATCGCCTCCTCTTGGGAATCTGTCTACAGGCTCCTCCATCTGGCACCCGGCATGTCGACAAGCAGCCAGGACTGAAGATAAGGGCAAGGTTGGTAAGATTTGTGGCTTCCCTGTGTGTCCTTCTTCACATGCAGGCTAGAGGGAGAGATACAGGCCAGCCTACCCATGCTTCTCAGACGGTGTCATAGGACATCCAGGCTCAGGGGACCAAGGGCCACAGATGAGGGAACAGGTAGGTCAGTGAGCCATCATGCAGGTCTAATGGGGCCCCAAGGAGACCAGATGGTCCATCCCTGCCAATCCTCTTGTCCAGTCAGTAAATGAAGATGGCCATGTCCGTTTGAGGGACCCCCAGATAGTCCTTATGGCCATCAGAAAATTTGCAGGTTCAAACTGCATCTTGGCTTGACAGTCCTCATACCCTCATTGATGGCTGGCCTGCCTGTCACAGGGCAAGTTCTTGAGGGCAGGATGGTCAGAACACCCAGTAAGTCCCAGTGCAAAGATTCCACCCTCTTCTCCCTGTGGAGGTGGACATGTACTCATGCAGCAAGGCCCAGTGCAATGATTCTGCTCTCTTCTCCCTGTGGAGGTGTCACCCTCCTGCACTGTAGGACAGTAGGACAGGGCACACAGAGCACTGCCAACCAGGCAAACTCTATGCCTGAGATTCTACTGGGGCTCTGGCAAAGAAGCTGTGTGACCCATTAAGCTCAAGAGTCAACTGCTCCTCTGTGGCCAGAGGCTTTTGCCCTAGGGCACAGGTTGGTCTTCCTAATATGACCACCCATACCATGAGATGATCCCGTGAGGCCAGCCCTCCCTAAACACAACCGCTGCTGAGGCGAGAGAAATGTGACCTCCTAGGAGCTGAGAGCAAAGGTCAGCTTCTAGGAAGGGCCTGGTTCTGAACCCCACAGGTGCCCTGCTATGTGCCAGGCAGCAGGGTTATGGCTGAGAGATGGAGAGACAATAGCCATTCTGGATGTGAAGGAAGCACAGCATTTGGAGGAGGGTGTGCCAGAGCCTGTACAGAGATCAAACCCAGGCCCTGGGAGCAGAGCTAGAGAAGTTTCCAAGACGCCGCCTTCCTTCTTGGGTGGCTATGGTACAAAGCAGAAAGGAGAGGGGATGAAGAGGAATGGGAGGAGGAGAAAGAGAAACAGAAGGAGAAGGAGTAGTGAGAGGGGGGAAGAGGAAGAGGAGGAGGAGGAGGAGGAAGAGGAAGAAGAAGAAGAGGGGGAGGAAGAAAGAGGAAGCCTGGCTGTAACAGAAGCAGGATAAGCAGGCAGTAGGGAGGAGCACAGAGACCAGCAGGGCGCTCTCCAGAATCTTCTCAGCAGCTCTGCCTTTGGCTGTGAGGAGTTTATATACCACCCCACCCCACCCACCCACCCATCCCCTACCCACTCCTACCCCACCCACCGACCCCTAGCTCAGTGACTCTGTCTCACTGCACTATCATCCTATTAAGCCTTTACCGTGGCTTTCCGGTAGGAGACCACTGAGCACCACCACATTGTCTGATCTGCTTTCCCAGTGGCTACTTCTCTCTGCACGATGAATCTCCCACCCAGGGCATCCCTGCCCTCAGTCATGACCAGTGACGATGTGACCATAGAGTCTAACTCCATCTTGTCTGTAGGGTCCCCTGTGGAGCCCAACAGTTCAGAAGAAGGAGGAAGCCTGGCATGCCCAAAGGCCCCAGACATACTCACACATGCGTGTGCTCAGGGAAGCATCCTGACCTGTGACTGAACAGAGCTAGGAAAGAGCTGATACTCTGCTTGCCTTCCTTCCCCCAGCCAGGCTCAAGGACAGGGTAGGTGGCTCATGCCCCACAGCAGCTGCAGGAGACAACAGCCTTCCTCACTTTCTCTGGTCCCTGGCCAGATGGAAGGCCCTGAGGAGTGGGTGCTGCCAGGCCAGGAAAGAAGGCAGCCTTGTTTTCCTGGGCCTGTGCAGGAAGGCTCTGCTTCCAGGGCTGTCTGGTCTGTACAGCTATTGAAATGAGTAGTTTAGGAATGGAGGTTGTCTCCTTCAGCCAACATTTGGGGCAGAGGCTGGCCATCCTGAGACCAGTTGGCTTCTTGGTGTTGAGCCCAGTTTCTCCAGGGCTAGCTGCTTCTGGCCTGGTGTGGGGGTAGAGGGGACAGACTCCTGCCCTCTGTTGTTCCCTATGTGAGCAGCTCCCGAGTAAGCATAGTCAAGCAGGCCTGATTGGCTTAAAAAGACTCCTGTCCCTGAGGAACAGGGCACCTGGAGGTGGCACCTGTGTTATTGACCCTTGAAACATGTCAGTGCATGGAGGCCACACCTCCTTTCTACCCAGCGATGAGAAATAGCTTGCCTATTCTGGATTTAGTAGTCACTTTAACAAGTGTCTCTTGATGCGGGCCCTTGGACATCTGCAGGATAGTCAGGGGACTCATTCTCCAGCAAGACCCTGGCTCCTGGTTAGTCTGTCTATGCAGGGCCAGCCAGCAGGAGGAAACACAGGCCTTCCTTGTTGCCTGGAAAGCCACAGTAATTGCATGGCTGTCTCTCCTCCACACAGGCAGGGAGTATGTTGTGAACAAGAACCACAGGATGCAGGGTCCTGAGCATCTGGAGTATGTAGAGTGGACATTAGGAGATCTAGTCGTGACTACCCTGCCCCACAGGTGTCATGGCATCCTTAGCACAGCACCCAGTGTCCACAGGCATCATGGTATCTTTAGAACAGCACCCATTTACCATGTGTTTTCAGAAATTTTGTATCTGGAATTAAGGGGTGAATGAGGCCTGTGGAGTCCCTGAAAGTTCCAGGTCTCTGTGGCTGGGAGCAAGGCAATGACTGGAGAGTGAGGTGCTGAGGTTCACCGTGGGTCTTTGTGGGACAGACTTCAGGGCAGGGGTGGCAGGGGTGGAGTCAGGATAGTGCCCTGGTGACAGTCACCTCAGCTCTGACAGGGAATTAGGTTTTGTCCTCTGTCCTCCCCTATATAGCTGGGCACCGAGTACAGGAGGGCCCACATTACCTCAGGGTGGCTGAAGCCCATGGTACAAAGAGACCATGGGCAGGACCGGCAGGACCCTATTTGGTTATTTTGTCACTTTACAATGAAGGGGACATTTTCAAAGCTGGAACTCCAGGCAGGTGTCACCTAGGGTCGGTAGAGCATAGTAGTCACTTGGTCTCTCACTGTAGTGCAGGCCCTGTCTTCCAGGCATCGATTACAGGTGTGAGGGAGCCACCTTTTCTGAATCAGCAAATGATATGAGGTGATTCCATCCCTGTCAGCCCCAGAAGCCTGTGGTCCCAGGGTCAGGCAGGCCCTCTGAGTTGGCACCTGTCAATGTAACTCCAAGATGAGGGTCTGAAGGCTACAGGAAATACAGGGCTTGGGTCCAGAGCACAGGACCTACAGAGGGGATGGCAGTGATCTCAAGGGAAGCTTCACGCCGTCCCTCCTCTCTCCCTTCTAGATGCACAACTCTGTTTGCAGCCAGCCCTGCCCGGGCACCCTGCCCTGTGCCTTACAGGTTTGTGCCTCCTCCTGCCCTGTGTGACACGTCTGCTGTCTGCCTGTTGCTGCTGGTGTCATGCTGTGTAGGAGGAGCTCAGGAGGGGAGGCCTCCACCAGTCTGACTTGGTTCTTCCAGCCTGGAGGCTTCAACCCTTTCCTGGCCCGCTGTGGCAGGAGTCCGGGCCTCACGTGATGGCAGGCTGGCTCCTCCTGAAGCCTCTCTGCTTGGACTTGGCAGCAGCATCTTCTTGTTTTCTCACGTGTGTGTGTGTGTGTGTGTGTGTGTTCATGTTCTAAACTCTTCTTATGATGACCCCAAGCAGATTGGCTTAGATTCATCCAGTGGCCCAAAGTCATACACTGAGGTCCTAGGGTAGGTTAAAACTGCAGCAAGATCAGGAACATGACAGATGCCAGAGGCAAGGAAGAGCCTCATGGGGAAAACAAGGCAGGGTTGGAGGTGGTACGGGTCACTGAAGATGATACACAATGGAGGACAAGAGGTTAAAGGTCAAGGGGTCAGAACTCCTGCCTCCTGAGAGGCAGTGACACTGGTGGAAATTCACCTCTTAGATGAGGTGAAAAGGAGGCATGGAAGACTGGGCCTGGGGCAGGACATTAGAGCTGGAGAGGGGTGGAGGGTGGCCAGCTGTGGGGAATTCAGGTCTGTGTGTCTGAGGAGAAGGAGGAGCTAGAGCTGGCAATGAAGATGCCGAAGGCTTGAGGAGGGCTGTCTGAGGAGGGCTGGGCCACTGTCAGCAGCCGAGACTAGGAGGAGGCTGTATATGAAGTGAGTGACATCACACATCACTAGAGCAGAGCCTAGGTAAGAGGAAGGAGCAGCTGAGAGGGGCCTGAGAGTCAGATCAGAGAAGCAGAGGACTGAAGCTCATCCAGGGAGAGGAGTAACAGAGCTTCCCTGTGCCGTGGAGATCAAGGGATGCTACACATGGCCACCTGCCTCCATCCCCAGAGACAGGATCACCTCACTCCAGCATCCCTTGGGATGCTGCAAGCTTTCAGTGGGCATCAGATTGTGGACACCTCACCCTCACATGGCCTGTTGTGTTTGTGGCAGCTTCAGTGTATGTTTGTTCTGATACTTCCATCAACCCACAAAAAGGGACAAATTTCTACCTGCTGAGCTCACTGGCATTCCTGCCTGCATCCTGGAGATACCAGGTTCCTGAGGGCACCACTCCACTCCAGGTCAACCTGTACATCTCTGTTCTAGGAAACCAGGACTTCCTCGGAGAGCATTGTCTCTGTGCCTGCCTCCAGCACGTCAGGGTCCCCAAGCCGTGTGATCTACGTAAGTGAGGGTCATGGAGAGTGCTGTGGGTTGGTGGTGGGGTCACCACTGGGCCAGTGCTGTCGGGACTACAGAGTCTGCTGACAGTGGTCACTCAGCACTCCCTTGGGGAAGAAATGGCTACAGACTGGAGAGAGACACAGAACCCAAGACCTAAACACATTTGTGTGGCCTGGCACACAGACCTTTTCCCTAACTGGCTGGTGATTAGCGGAGGAGCATCGTGCATAGATGCAGTCATAGCACTACAGGAGGGCATGGCTGGCCTGCACTTAGTGAGCCACAGGCACTTGAAGGAAGGATGTTGTTTGCCTGAGCCACTGTGCAGGTCCTCACTTGTGAACAAAGAAGGCTCCTACCCAGCTCCTCAAGAGAAGTGTACTGGAGATGCTTGTGTGTGCATGCGTGCGTGTGTGTGTACATGCATGAGACTATCCATATAAATATAAAAACGATTGGACCCATTTTAAAAAGTTGTTAACTGTTGCCTCAGAGGGCAGGTTTGAGACAGGAGGCCATTGGTGTTTCAGCACCATGTGTGAGTGTTGAGGTTTGTCATTAAGAGTCCTGAGGCATAAGCTGAAGGACAGCATAGTGGCTCAAGAAGCTCCAGGACTGGAGGGAAGGCAGGAGACAAGGGGCAAGTCCCTTTTGCTATCTGCCCCTGGCTCTCCTGGCCCGGCCTTGGATCTTAGGTAGCATGGTAGGGAGATGAGGTTTACTCTCCCCCGCCTGTCTTCAGCTCACATCCTCCCATAACATTTAGCAGACGGTCATTCTGATGATGGTAACAGCAAGCGTCTTTCCTGGGATCACTGTGACTACAGTGTGGAGTGAGTGGGTTCCAGAACCCTCTGAGCCCACTTGTGCTGAGTCTCAGCCTGTGCCTGTGAGGTCTGGAGTCTGGCTGTGTACCCTAGGCAAGGTGTTTTCCTCTGTGGGCCTCTGGAGGCTTATTCATAAGCTGGGTTGAATCCAACCTCACCGGTGGTCCAGGGCTTCCTAAGGCTTGTCGTGTGAGGCTCCCTCTACAGCTCCAGGCCCAGAGAAAGAACTGAGAGCACACCTTCACCTCCTGAGCACTGGGATTCACAGGTGTGTGGCACTATGGCTGGCATATGCTGTTGCCAGGGACGGGATCCAGGCCCTTGTACGTGCTGGGCAAGTCCCTAGCAACTGAGTCACACTCCAACCCCTGCCTCTTGTTTACACAAAATAGCAGTGGCCGGAGGGAAGGGGAACTGATCTCCGTCATTATCCAGTGAGCTCTGCAGCTGGGGCTCTCGGGACTGTGACCTAAGGTTGCTTTTCTCACAGTAAATGTGACTTATTGTTCAGCAATGGGAAGCCGCAGTGAACAGTATCTTGGCGCCTCTTTCTGGTGGCAGCCGTGGTCATGAAGTGAAAGCCCAGTCACTGCACACTGTAGTACTGTGCACACTGTGGGGTATATGCTACCATACCTTCCTAGGTGAGTGACTCTGGGCAAATTGCCCAACCTCTCTGAGCTCTGGACTCTTCGTCTGTATAGATGGGAATACTGTGAGCATCCCTGCCACAGACCTCTATGAGTTTCTGTCTCTGGTCCAGTTCAGTATCTGCTGTGGCTGTTGATGGTTTGTCTCAGAATCCCAGCAGGGGAAGCCGCACAAAGGCTGATGTAGAAGTTAGACTTGAGCAGGGAAGGATTATCCCAGAGCTGGGCTGAAGGTGGGAAAGAGCTGAGGTGCTCCTCGAGTCAGAGGGATAGGCGGGACCCCAGAGTGAGTATGGGTGCAGGGGACACTGTCTGAGGAGGGTGGACAGAATGAGCAGGAGCTGCAGCAGCCAGGTGGACCTCACCTGAGCCAGCATGGTGGCTCACAGCACCTCACAGTCAGTGAGTTCAGCGGGTCACATCCCAGCACCCCGTCAAATGCTGAGCCGCCATCTTGCTGCTGTTTTGCACTTGCTCAAAACTTCTGAGACGAGGGGAGAGAGGATGAGAACAAGTGTGCAGATGTGGCTGTTGTGGGACGATGTGGGCAAGATGAGTTATGCTTATGTGTGTGCACGGTCACGTGTATGTGTGGCACAAGTGTGCAAGTTTGTAAGAGCCAGCCCTGGTGTGCAAGTAGCTGTGCATATATATGGGACTGTGTTGTAAGCCAGCAGGTGTGTGCTATTATGTGGAATGGGTGTTACTGGTGCATCCCCTCATCGCCTTAGACAAGCACGCTCTGTGTGTACTCTGATGTGAGTAGGGGATTGTGTGCATGTACATCTGTGATATATGTTCATGTTATATACCTGTAACCATGTGTGGTTTTAGGTTATAGTCTGAGTCTCACTGCCAGGCCCTGCATTAATGCATTATGGGCACAACCCAACGGCTTCAGTGTCTGACTCCAGGGCTATCCTTGTGGTCAGGTCCTCGGCTTTGCATCCCTGCCCCACCTTCACTGAGGGCTCGGTGTGCTTACACCCTGCTGGATCCCTGCAAGCCCAGGCCATCCTCACTGCTGGCTGTGGAGTGGCTCTGGCCTGGCATGTGTCATCAGTGACCCCTCCTCTGCTCTCTCCTTCATCAGGCAAAGCTTGGCGATGAGATCCTGGACTACAGGGACTTGGCTGCTCTTCCCAAAAGCAAGGCAATCTATAACATCGACCGCCCCGACATGATCTCCTACTCACCCTACATTAGCCACTCGGCCGTGGGGGACAGGCAGAGCTATGGCGAGGTACGGGGTATCACCATGTGTTGCATGCTTTCCCCAGTGCTGGCTCATGTGGATGGAGTCTAGTCCTTGCCAACATGCTCTGCTTCTTCGCCCCCAGATAACATGTCCATCTTAAGATACTTCCACTCAACCACGCCCCCTCACGGAAGAAATGAGTCTGAGAGTGAAGTGGAGGCGGGCAGAGCTTGAGAGAGGGACACACACTCTGCAAATGTCTGCATTTTCTTAGCCTCTGAGTGTTTTATGATGATGAAGTGTGTCATCTTCTCTCTCTGGACCATATGACCTTGAGCCCACATTCCCAGACCAGCACCTCCTCTATGGGTCCATTCCTAGGCTGGTTGAACAGTTTGTGTCATTATTCCCCAGTCTCCTGAAAATAGAAGCATCTGTCTAATTAGAGTCTTATTGCTATGGAGAGATACCATGACCACAGCAACTGTTATAAAGGAAAACATTTAATTGGGTCTGGCTTACAGTTTCAGAGGTTTAGCCCATTGTCATCATGGTAGGAAGCATGGTGGCATACAGGCAGGCATGATGCTGGAGAAAGAGCTGAGAGTTCTACATCTTGATCAGCAGGCAGCAGGAGCAGAAGTGTGCCACACTGGGCTTAGCTTGAGCATATATGACCTCAAAGCCTGCCTCCATAGTGACAAACTTTCTCCAACAAGGCCACGTCTCCTAATAGTGCCACTCCCTATGGTCATACACATGAGTATCTGGGGGCCATTGCTATTAAAACCACCGCGGCATGTATTGGTGATGTTTTTATTCAAGCTGCCTGTTTCCAATGAACACAGTTCCTATAGAGTGTCATTTCCTTCTGTTAGATTTTAGTGTGTCTTTGGCTGTGTGGAGCTCAGGACAAATGTTGAACTGGAGCAGGGAAATGGTCATTCCTAACACATGCCTCTTTGACTCCCTTCTGTGGCTTCAGCAAGACCTTGTGGGGCATGAGACTCAGGAGTTTGTACTTACATAGTAATGTTGAATTACTCCTCTTGGCACTGAGAAGCCTGTAGTTATAGCCCCCAGACAAGCCTGCAGGCTCTGAGGACCACTTAGGGACCAAGAAGAGCAAAAGGACCATCAGACATACATATCAGGATGTGTATGCCTGAGGAGGAAAGGGCACCGACCTTGTGACTACTGCACCACCTACCTGCTACCTGAGCTGGCTGTGGGCTTCATCAGCCCACATCTAGCCTTTGGGCAGCAGGCAACTGGAGAGGGTCAGAGGTCACACAACTTGACTGTGTCCCTCTGAGATCCAAAGCCTGGCTTTTCTTCCCTAAAGACCACATACTGGCTATTCCACGGCTGATCCTCAGGGACATGGAATTCAGGCTTCAGAGTTGGGTTCAAGTCCCACTGGACTCAGCCTCAGGAGGCCAGCAAGGCCCTCTCTGAATGGAACGTTGACATTCCTTCAGTGGCCTCAGGAAGCCATGGTGGGTGGGGAAAGCTGCAGTGAGCAGCATTGATATGCAAGCCCACAGCCTGTTGACAGCATTGTCCTATATCCAGGGCACACAATGTTCCCTCTCAAGTGTAGGCATAGAATTGCGGACACAGGGTCTGGAAACTTCTCAGGTTTTTTTTCAGCATCTGAGACAACACCTTCGAAATATCAAGACTGTGTGACCCACAGATAGTCCTGACTTAGAAGTCTGTCCTTCAGAGGGCAGTGGGATAGCATGGGAGTGTATGTATGTGTCATCCTCTCTAATATCTGCCCTGTCACAAGCTTGTCCCTTCTGCCATACTGCTTGTGAGACTCGCTTCAGCAGAGGTCAGTACCGGGCTGCCCTGGGGAAGGAATATTCCCACTAAAATGCTACTTCTTCCTGTGGTCCAGGATGGTAGGGCAACACAATATAGAAAACCTCAGGACTCTTGTCACGTACATCACATATAGAGTAGCTGATGGCTTCCTTACTGTCTCGCTGCCTCATCCCTCTGGACCATTCTCATGAACAGAGGCGGGTTGGTTTTTGTTGTTCTTGTTTTATATTTCTGTCCCTATATCATAGCCCAGCCCCTGGGAGTGATTTTTCTCAGTCACACCTAAAAAAAGCCAAGGCCAAATGAGGTTCAGCTAGGACTCACATGGGCCCAGATAAGCTGCCTCTGGACCCCGCTCTCTGGGTGTCAAGAACAAGATGGAACGGCCACCCTTCTAGCAGAGGAGCCATTGGCTAGAAACATAAGGACTGGAGCCACCTTTCTGAGCCTTTGTCTCCTGGCTCTCTCCCAGCTCTCTCCTGGCTCTCTACCCTCTTTCCACTGAGCCCCACCCCATCTATCCTCTCCAGAGAAAATGAAAGTGATGAGCCCAGAAGGTGTAGCTGCAGTGGTCCACGAGCCACCAACAGCTTTCTTTTTGAACTCATGGTCTCTGGAGTGTGGATGCCATCTGGTGGGCTGAGTGGAGGAAGGAGCTGGCTCAAACAGCACCAAGCCACCTCTTGTGCTGGGGCACCTTGTTAGTTAGAGCTGCAGGTCACGAATGTAGGTGCCTACGTTCCCTGTGGTCACCCAACAGCCCTCTTACCCCAAAGCAACCCTGGCTCAGTGCACTAACGGCTGCTCTGTTGTGTCCACAGTCACCTCAGTTGCTCTCACCAACGCCGACTGAGGTAACCACCACCTACGCCTGCGCCCTGTGTGCTCATGGTGCTGCCGTCTGCAGGGTTATAGAGATGACCAGCATGGCGCCCTGAGGGCCACAGGGCCCTAGCCACTTCACTGGGGGCCTCTTCCTGCTGGCTGTTTTTATAATCATATCTCATTGCATGTTCCCCCATGTGTGTGCAGACAAGTCTTCACTGACACTGGGGATATGGTATTACCCAGCAGATCCTGGCCTGGGTCATGGCATCCTTGGGTGAGCTGGGGTCCACTTCTTGTCCCAACTAGATATTCAGGAAGCTCTGGGCCCTTGAGGCTGAGCACTCTGAGAACTGAGCTATCAGATAAACTTCTCAATACCAGACCAAGGCGTCTCCTTTTTCTCAGAATCAGTGGTGCAGGTTGTGGGCCACTCAGACTCTAGTCTGTGTGGCAGAGCCCAGGGCTGGGAAGGGAATAGGAGCATGGCACACTATTGAGCCCCCTCTCTGTACCAGGCACTGTTGTAATCACTTTATACCTAATTCCTTTACCCAGAACAAAACCCAGAGGTAGTTCCTAAGAGTTTCCCATTTACCAGTGGAGAAACTGGGGCCCAGACGCCAAGTAACTGGGGCCATTTGCTTCCTGCCCTCCTCAACCTTGGGGAGTGTCCCACTCCAGCCCACAATGTCCCAAGATCGAGTATCTCATCGTCTCAGACTGAGTAACGCTTCTGCCTGGTTCCTCTACTGCCTCCTCAGTCCAACGCATTTCACTTCTTGTAGCCAAAGCAAGATCTACGGCAAGAGCTTCTGCCTGGTTCCTCTACTGCCTCCTCAGTCCTTCTTCTGGCAAACAATGCTTGGGGTTCTGGGGGACCCTGATGCTGTGGGGTGCTTGGGGTTGACATGAGGCTAGGAGGGCTGGCATGACCCAGGCCACCAGGCTACATTACAGAGGGATGGGCAGTCTGATTCTGGAACCATGGTGCCATGTCATCTCATGCTGCTGTCGCCTGTTCTGGCTGCTCACAGACGCTCCTCTTCCTGCTAAGAAAGTGCTAAGTGTTATCAGTGCTTGTGGTCTCGTTGGCTGGCTTCTGAATCCCAGAGGGCACCTTCCTGCCTCAGAAGGTGCCACGGAGCACCTAGAGTGTCCCTCACATGTGAGGAGCACGTCAGTGTTCTCAAACTGTTCCAGAGGTTCAGAGTGCTGGGAAGGTTTAAGGGGGAGGGAAGTGGATAGGGCAGGGAGGATGCAGGCATGGTCCTTCCACCACATTCCAGAAGTCCTGCACCAAGGAGGGTCAGATGGACTGGAAGGGTGGGTATCCAGTGGGCTCATACTCAAACCAAGGAGCTTGCTACGACTCAGACCTGTCTCACTGTCTAGATGTGCTCTGTTTATGCTCGAAGACCCTATTTTAGGGTTGTGTTGTTTCTGCCCCTGGGATCTAGAGGGCAAAATCAGTGGGGGTGGGTGAAGGGCAAGCTGTGCTCCTGACGGAAGTGTTCTCACACTGTCTTCCTACCCAGGGGGATCAGGATGATCGGTCCTACAAGCAATGCAGGACCTCCAGCCCCAGCTCTGCTGGCTCGGTCAGCCTCGGACACTACACCCCAACCTCACGGTCACCCCAGCACTACAGTTGTCCAGGTATTCACACCCCTCCACACTTATCTTGACCCCGTGAAGAGGTTGTACTTCTTGATGAGTTTGCTGATATAAAGTAGCTTCTTTATTCATTGAGAACAGTGGCGAGGGGAGTGGTACTGGTGGGGCCATGGCGAGTCTGGCCACTTAGACATAGCAAAAGGACTGCCTCAAGCCTGGGAGCAGGCAGCCATAAGGCAGCTGGTCACCCTGAGGTTAGAGGGGCTGTCTGACTCCACAGTTCACATTCTGAGACACACACAGCCCCAAGGCCCACACAGAACAACCAGAGTGGGCTTCTGGGGCAGTTACAGAGCTGTCAGATGTGAAATAACACATGAGGTAGGAGAGCAAGCCACAGTCTGTTGTGAGCACATGGCAGTTTGGGAGGACATGAGCTGAGGAATCAGAGTCATTGGAACAGCCAGTCACAATGTCTAATGCTGTACCTATCACTCAGTAACCCTAAAGACAACCATCCTATCAAAGAACTTGGCAAAGGCCCCTATGCCCTTCCAGCTGGAAGACAACCCTGTGCAGGGCCTCCCACCCTGTCGCCTCATCCCCCCAACCCTTCCCATTCGGCTCCCAGTTTGCATTGTGTTCCTCAGCTTTGAGCTGGCATGTGAAAGCCACAGGGACCATGCACCGACATGCTGCCTTTTGGAGGGATTTTTCCAAGCTGCTTCCTTCCTTCCAGCTGTGCATGACCCGTTTTCACACCTGTGGATCATAGCTCTTATTTTCAGAAACTTTGTGGGAAAAAAAATCGACTTAGTTGTTTGCAATCATTTTCATTGATTCCTTGCAATATGCCTGGTCCATCCTGCTCAGTCAGTGCAAAGAAAGAGGGCGAGCGAGTGTGTGCAGGGGAGAGTAAGTGAATGATTGCAGGAATGAGAATGAGGCAATGAATGAGTGGATGGATGAGTAAGTAAATGAACGGGTTAGTGGATGACTGAGTTGAGTGAGTAAATTAGCGAGTGAATGAATGAATGAGTGAATGAATGAATGAATGGGCTAGTCAGAGAGCTCATGAGTAAGGAATGTGCTGGTGGATGATTGGGTGAATTAGTGAGTGAGTGATTAAGTGAGTGAGTAACCTACTGACTGAATAAGTAAATGGGTTGGTCAGCAAGTGAATGAGTAAAGAAATGAATGGGCTAGTGGACGACCGAGTGAGTGAATGAATGAATGAATTGGCTAGTCAGAAAGTTAATGAGTAAGTAACTGAATGTGTTAGTGGGTGATTAAGGGAGTGAATTGAGAGAATGAGCGTGTGAATTAGTGAAAGGCTGAGTCAGAGACTGGAGATGCGCTGGTGAGTGAACTAGGTGAACGAGAGGATGAACAGGTGTGTGGATAGCGTGGCCTTCTTGAGCCCTTCCCTCAGAACCTGTGTGACTTGACCCCTGACTTTGCATCACCAGGAAGGCCTGGCTATTGATTGCTTGGTCAGGGGTAAAGCCCAGAGGCCAAGCTTTGTATCTGGACTGGCAACTGCCATGAGAATGCTGGTGACAGACCACTCTTTGACCTCTGGAAGCTGCCCTCCCACTGTCCTTGATCACAAGGACACCCCAAAGTGAGCCATGGGCAGGGCCAGAGATGTGTCCCAAGCTCCGGCTGCCACCCTGTGTCTGGAGGCAGCATCTCCTGACCCCACCTGAAGGAGATGGCCCACAGCCTTCTGGGTGATCCTCTTCAGGTGCCCCAGGAGAGAAGAGGGGCAATGTCCCTGACCAAGTGGGGACTAGGGCAAGTTGGTGGCTCTGGGGTGGAGGAGCCCAGGGTTACTGACTGCTCTCTGTTGCCCGCAGCTGGTACTGTGAGTGTTGGTACCAGTAGCTGTCTGTCCCTGTCCCAACACCCAAGCCCTACATCCGTGTTCAGACATCATTACATCCCCTACTTCCGAGGTAAGGCGTGCAGTGCACAGCGGGGGGTGCTCGTCCCATGTCTCCGCATGGCTTCCAGAGCCCTGTGTCTCATGCCTGTGTACTTCCTGTGTTGTGTGTGTCTGGCTCTATTCTTGTCAGTGTGTCCATGTTCCTGGAAGGAAAACAGGGTGATTTGTCACTAAGAGTACAGCTGGAGGGGGCATCTCAATGAACACCTTGCTGGAGGTGGGAGAGTCATTGTATACATTCCCCCATCAACCCTACATGGTGGGGTGTGGTTAGTGTTAGCCTTCAGGAGCAGGAGCTGAGGTGTGGAGAGGTGGTGATGTCCACAGCCTCACACCCCCTGGTGGCTGAGCCAAGACTCAACCCAGGTGGCTCCAACCCCTGGGTCTTTCCAAGCCATAATCCATGTCCTGTAGACCCATATACATGAATGAGGGTGTGGATGCCCTTGTGATTTCTTCCATGTTAAAAACTGAATTTTGTGTGCCCCCAAGTTCACATATTGATGGCCAATCCTCCATACAGCAGTGTCTGAAGAAGCAATGTTAAGGCAGGTAGGGTGACAGAGGTAGAGCAAGGGTCACAAGGAGGAACTCTCATCCACTGGCCTTGTAAGGCAAAGAGGAGGCAGGCCCTGGGCATTGTCTGCACATTTAAGATCAGTGGAGAAACAGTCAACAGACCAGGGTGAAATACTACTAAAACAAAACAAAGCAACAATCACAGCAACAACAAACTTCTCCTGGGCTTTGAACATGACTCCAGACCTGTGAGAAATGAGAGGCTGTTGAGCTATGAAATTTGTTACATAGCCCAGCTGATAAAGACACAGCAAATAGGTTGGGGATTTAGCTCAGTGGTAGAACATTTGCCTAGCAAGCACAAGGCCTTGGATTCTGTCTTCGGCTCTGAAAAGAAAAAAAGACACAACAAATAACACTTAGGGATTTAGAGAACATGTTGATGATTTTCTCAAGGGTCCCTAGGTGGTACATTAAGTTCCCTGTCTCTCATAACCACGCAATGGGTACCCATGGAAAATTCCTCCCCACAGGTTCAGGCGCAGCCAGCAGCTCCCATCACTTGCAGTCAGTAAATGACCCGTTCTCCTCTATCTTTATTCTCATCCCTTACTGTATTCCTGGTCCACTGAGCAGAGCCCTTGGCACTGTCATGTCTTCCTTGCCTCTTCATGGGCTCTCCACACATCCCAGTCTCTAGCAGGGATTAAGTTCCCAGTGACAATGCACAGCCCCAATGCTATATCCCCAGAGTAGCAGAGTGGCTTCGTGGTCCTTAATTCATGTATATTATATGTCTGTGGGAGTCTCAGAGTGAGGAGTGCCCCCAGAACCTGAAGGGAACCTGATCACTTTGGGGAAGTCAGACAGATCTCGAAGTCTGATATCTTTCTTCCCTTTGCCCAATCACCTGTAAGGCCCTGCCTTTGGTGGGCCTGATATACCTCTGGGTCCGTGGTCAGCCTGTGACCAAAGATGTGCTAGACACTGACCACTACTGTTCCTGTTCTTAATGGGGGCTGCATAGAAACCCATAGTTCTGCCCTTCACTTGACTTCCATGGCAGACTGTGACCTTGGGCTCTCCAGCACCTTTCAGAACATGCCTTGAGGAGGTCGAGACCCCGAGATGAGTGCCTGCTTGAGGTTCAGAGCAAAGCCCAGACACAGGTCCTTCCCTAGAGCCTCCTGAGGACCACCCTGTCCCTAGTCTCTGGACACCCTGTCCGTAGCACACAGCCACAGATGTAGCTTCTGCTGAATCTCTGGAAAATTCCTTCTTATCCTCATGGGTGCTTTGCAGTATTTGGGAGACACCTCATGTCTGATGCTGGTTGAAGACTCCCAGGTAGACATGCTGTCCTGGTCCAGCACTCTCCTGACTGAACTAGAATGGCAGGGACTCGCCCATCTCCCTTCTTTCCATCTTCCACCCAGCCTGGTCATCATACCCTCCCACTGAGTCTCAGGGCTTGGAGTCTCACTGCCCCCAACACCTACAGTCAGGTGAAGGGCTGGTGAAAGTCACTGGCACATTACTGTCAATTTCAGACCTTGGTTGGGATAGTGTAAGGTATAAGCCTGACTCTAACTTGATAAAAACAAGCTGCAAAGATAGGAGACGTGGGTTCATAAGAGGACTCCGTGATGCTGATGTTACTTTTCTGGGGTCTGACTAGAAGATATGCCACAGTACTAGTGTCATGAGAAGAAGGAGTGTCAGAGGAATCGGAGGGCAGAGCCTCAGGTCAAAGCCACAATGTGCACTGTACCCAGTAGGTGATTCTCATCTTGCCAAGGGTCCTCTTCCCAGCTCTAAAACAGGTCCCTAAGCCCTAGTCCATCAGCTTCAGGAGCTGTGCTCAATGCTCTGAGGAAGTTCTAGGTAGAAACTACACCTGCCTTGGCTATGGTCCTCAAAAGGTCATGACATGTGGTTGTGAGCCAGACTTGCTCTAGTGGGACTTTGGAAAAGTACAGCCATAGCTAACCACAGCATCTTCAAGGCCAGAGTCAACTGTAGCATCTTCAAGGCCAGGACTAATCACATTATCTTCAAGGCCAGGGCCAAACAGCATCTTTAAGGCCAGGACCAACTATAGCATCTTCATCTGCCAGAGTCAACTGTAGCCATATCAACCATAGTTGCAACAAGAAGATAGATGATGAGTCACTGGTTCATAGATGATACAGTGTCCACAAATCTATACCAAAAAGACCAGCTGAATAAGAGCACAAGGGAATGACTTCTGCACAGAATGCCCAAGAATTTGTAGAGATAGTGGGTCACAGAGGTAAGCAGGACTCCCTCCTTCCTCTGCATAGCCAAGTGTGAGCTAAAACCTGGAGAGGTGCCATGTCCAGGCAAGGCATCAGGTCTGACCCCAGGTCATGAAGGCAGCAAATGCCCCGGGGGTGATGTGAAAGAGAGGAGATACCACCTCTGTACCTTCCTCCTAAGTCCATGACCCCTGTCTCTCACAATCCCAGCTGAGGGACATTCTATAGCTCCCCTCCCCCTGTCAAGATACTAGGAACTGTCAAGATCTTCAGTGACAAGGGATGCTGGTCACAGCTTCGAGAAGCAGGATGTGACAGTGAGTGTGGTGTGATGTCCTGAATGGGTCCTGAGACAGAAAATATCTCAAGTAAAAGTGGGTTAGACTCAAAGTGTAGTTAACATGACAGAACGATTTCAGATCCTGGAGGCGTGTCAGAACTCAGAAGCAGGCCCTGAGTGAGGGTACCTTTTGGAATCATCTAAAACCATTCCAAAACAAAACATTGACTTAAAAGAAGCCATGGGTCACACCAGATCTGGGGCCACCTGGCCTTGTACAGGACCTTTCCCTGGGAAGTGTCAGAAGCACCCTGGATATGACTCCTTCAAAAAGAGCCATGTGCCTGGACAAAGGAGCCTCCATGCCTGTCCTTGGGTGACACTGGGGGGCCTTATCATTTAGGATCAGTGAGGAAAGCTAGTTTCCAAGTAGTCAGTGTGCCCACTTCATGTGGCTTAGTGCCCTCCACCAGAGGTGAGATGGTGCCCACTGTGTGAGGCTGACATAAACATACCATGAAAGCATACAACACAACTCCAGGCAGGTCTGTGGGGTCCAGGTCAGTGAGGTGTTCTCTCAGCCACATCAGACAGGCAAGCATGCTTGCAGAAAAGGAAAAGGCCCCATGATGGCCTGGCCCTCCTGAGTGCTTTGTCAGCCAGGTGGATCCTGAGCCTAAACTCAGGAAAGTGTAGATGGTATTGACTCTGGGAATGGCCTTGCAGATCAGACAGGGAACTGGGAAGATTTGATGGCCATGTCTCAGGCAGGGACCAAGGTGGCTGGTGTTGAAGTCTTCTATAGTAAGTGTGACAGGGTCCTCGTAGGTCATCAAGGTCACCACACTGTGTCTCGACTCCCTTGGTATCGGCCCCTCTGAACAGCTGAGAACCTGTAGCCTCTCTAGCAAGTACACAGGGGTAGAAACCCCACTTGTCATTTCAGGGGACATCACACTGTAGGCCAAGCTCTGGAGAGGACAGGGATGTCGGACCATTTTAGAGTCCTCAGCCAACTGGGATGACAGAAATGATCATGAAGTCAAGATAGAGAAAGACAGGCTAAGCCACAGAGGCTCAGCTCAGGGGTGATACCCAGCAGGGACAGTCTCCAGCCCAGGTGGAGGGCCTACAGTTGTGTTTTCAAAGCCACTATGTCTGTCATGACTTATGTGACACACAGAGTCATGACATCATGTGTAGAAGGAGCCTGTGCTTCCCATATTGCTGAAGTCAGGTCCCTGCTGCTGCTAGGAGGAGCAGAAGCTTAGCTGATGCAGCCAAAGTCAGGAGGGCCAGTATCATTCTAGAACAAAATCTTTAGTCTCCAAAGCTCCCCCAGTGTTTACAGGTGAAATCAGTGACAGAGTGGCAGAAACACCTAAAGTAGGAGTCATCAGTCTTCTTTGGTGGCCACTGGTTTGGCCCTTCTCCAGCCAGGCCCTCCCTGTCTGTGATGTCCCTTACTAGCTCTTGCCCATCCAGGCCAGGTTTCTGTCCCATTGGCCTTAGGGTCCTGCTGCTTGACATTGTCATTCAAAGGCATACTTCTTAGATCTAGAGTGCCCGTTCCTGGCCAGTAGCCCTATCGGCTACTGCAGACTTCAGCAAGTCTAAAGGAAGGGAACAGTTGTGCCTTGGGGTGTCCTGCTGTGAGCTGTGCTCCTCATCCCATGTCCAGTACCACCATGTTCTGTTCATCACATCCTGCATCGGTGGGAGGCGGGGCATCCACTCAGGTCACCAGGTGTCCTTGATGGGTGATTTGACCGTCTAGCCTCCTTCACGGAACACAGAACAGCTTTTAGCCGAGAGAGGTTGGAGGCAGTAGAGCATCCTCATTTTGCTTGCCAGAAGCAGCCGTATCTAGGGACTGTGCAAGTTGATGGATGCTGACCCCCAGCTCCCCACACAGGCAGAGCCTCCTCTGTGGTTGTGAGGGCTGCTTTTGACCCATTCCCACACCTTAGTCCTGTTCTCACAGTTAATCAGTGAAAACTCTGAGCAAGCAGGACCTCCCTGCAACAGCTACATCAGGGAGGCAGGAATAATGAGCCTGCAGAGTGTGTTCACACCCCAGAGTCCTGGGCTCTGCCCACTACCCTTGCACTAACATGCTCTTGGCTTTCCAATCACTGCCCCTTTGTCCCTCCCCCCCGCCCCCAGAGCGAGGCACACTCCATATTGAAACAGAAAGTCATAGGGCTCAAGGCTCCAGCGTGGGCTTCCTTCAGGCAGGAGAGAGAGGATTCACTGCAGCTCAGCTCTTTTCACCTGACACCTTCTGCTTTGCTTTTCTGCCCCTCATATGCTGTCTCTGCTCTTCCATCTGGAGGCAGCGAAAGTGGCCGTAGCACCCCGAGTCTCTCAGTGCACTCCGACAGCAGGCCTCCTTCCTCTACCTATCAGCAGGCTCCGAGACACTTCCACGTCCCAGGTAGGTTCATGCATGCTTGTTGGCTCCTCGTGCACCATCTTGGCCACACCTGAATTGTCAGAGCATCCTCAAACACTGAGTTTCCGTAAAAGCTACTCCATGGAGTAGGGTGTAGTGGTGCATACCAGATATCTCAGCACTGAGTTAGGAGTGGAGACAAGAGGGTCACAAGTTCAAGGCCAATATGGGCTAGAAAATTTTATCTCCAAATCAACAACACAGAATGCAATATGTTTGCAGTACCCCCCAAAGTGACATGCTTGGATTTTTCTCCAAGCCTCATAAATACTGAGAAAATGTTTTTGTCCTGGGTCAAAGGTGGAGAAAAAAGTCTGAGTTAGCTGCATCCTGGTGACCCATGGTTCTTGCTTGCTGCCTTCCCTGTCCACCTCCCTTCCTGTCCCCTTCTGATCTGCGGTGGTGTTTAAACCGGGGGATGCTTGATGGAGGTATGGGGCTTCAGCCTTGGCCACTTGCAGTTTTGGAACCTTTTCTGGTAATTCCGGGCTGGGCGAGCCAGGAGCTGACAGAAGCCACTGGGTGGAGAACATCGCAGCCACCTCCCTGCTCCCCCTCACGTTCTTTCCTTCTCTTTCCTTCTTCTTTCCCAGACACTGGCGTAAAAGATAACATCTATAGGAAACCCCCTATCTACAAACAGCACGGTATGGTCGGTCTGCTGGACTCCGCTGCCGTGCGTTGCCTGCATGTCTGTTGCGCCCTCTCGCTTCTGAATGCTTGCTCCTTTTGCTGTGTCCTGATCTGAGGCTCCGGGAGGCCCTGCTGTCTGAACATTAATGCACACTCACTCGTAGGCTCCTGGGAGGCCTCTCTTCACAAGAGAGGAGACAAGTGCAGAGGCCAGTGCATGGCAGCTGCGGCTGGGGCTGGGGTGTGTGTGCTAATTAAGAACCTTTATTTGGTGTTTTTGATGCTACTATGAGGGGCCCAGTGGAGACAGTGAGGGACTGGGGGCTTTTTACCCATGCCCTGACACAGGCCTGATCTTTGGAAAATAATGACTTGGAACCAGTCCCAATTTAGGGAGACTTTAGGCCCCATCTTTTGAGAATATCTGTGATAGGATGGGAGGCCTTGTCCTCAGCTAATGGGGTTCCTTGCATTGTGTAGAAGCTAGAGGTGGTTTGCAGCAAGGGTGTCCCCTATCCCTCTGACCCCCCACATCTTCTCCACATGGACCTGCCTAGGACAGATGGACAAGGAGAAGATTGCTTGAGCCGTGAAGCAGGACTCTAAGGGAGTCAGAGTTTCGATTTCTGGGTAACCAAGAGGTCACTGCAGTGCCATGAGCCTCAGTTTCCTCATCTGCAAACCAGACTCCTCTCACTCTGTCCTCCACCTCCTCCACTCCATTTCCTTCCCCTTGCCTTTTCTGTCCCCTTCGCCCTCATTCCTCCAGGACTGGGCATGAGGTACTCATAGAACAATGTGTGTGGAAACAGTTCAGAACTGTAAATGGCTGTGCACAGTGGAGACTTACGGGAGATTCCTATATGGACAGCTCTTGTTCAGATGTGCCCAAGGAAAGCACCCGCTTCCCACACTGACAAGTGCTAGACAGCTTAGGCGAGGTCTGCTGTGTCGGGTCTGGTCCTCAGTGCTGATGAGAGGCCCTGAGCTCTGTGCCTTTCCTCCTCCTCTCAGAAAGAACAAAAGGACTTGAAGTCCTGGTTTTTAGAATCTAAGCAGAGGGCACATTGTATCCCCAAGGGGTGGGTGGGGGCAGTAAGATTATCACACCTCTTACCAGGAACAGAACTGTAGCACCCTAGTCTACAGGTGGGGACACTGAGGCCCAGCCAAAGAAAGGAGCATGGCATTAGGTGACCCCTGCAACACCACGCTGGACAGTCTTTGAGAAGGTCCATGATCTCTCCAGAGCCCAGAATAGAGCTTGGCTTATGGGGCTACTGCTTTCTCTCATCTCCACTTGGCAGCTTAACTGTGTGGTTATTAACCATGGTCCAAGTGGAGTTGGCCTTGGCAAGGAGCAGGGTTAGAAAATCACCTTAGGAAATTGACCACCAGTGTCTGATAGGGCCACACTGAGGCAGCATGTTGGTGTTCAAATCCTTTATTGAGCTCCCAGGGGAGGTCAGGTTCACAGTTACCAGCCACCAGCCTTGTAGTCTAGGCATAAGACAGTTGCCTGTCCACAGGCAATCCTGGCTTGAAGAAACCCTGAATACCCAGGATTCTGTATGTTGATTCTGTAAAGAATCAGATCTTAACGAGCACTGCTAGGCATTCAGCAAAGCAAACCCAGGATAGGAACTCGGTGAACCATGCAAACTGTAAGTGACAGAAGGCTTTAGCAGCATAGAAGGTCCTTTAAAAAGCCGTTGGGAAATACAGATGTACATGGTGCCTTTGTTTTCCAGTTCATCCATTTGAGACCTTTGGTATTCACAAGCCCTCCCCACCCCTCAATTTTGGATGGGAGTGTGTGGATACATGTTGTGTGCATGCGTGCCTGTGTACATGTGTGTGTACTTGAATCCCCCTCCCCCAGGCGCTTGCTCCATCAAGGCAACTTGACCACAGGCCTTCCCCGAGGAGCTCTGTAGCCTGGTCTAGGCACTCTGAGCAGCATTGTATTAATCCTCACTCCAGCTTGAAACAGCCCCTTGAAACAGCCCCTGGGGGCCATTGTGAATCACAAGATTGTTTCTTTAGCTTAAGACCCTATAGTTAGCATATTAAAAGCAGCCACACCTTTCCCCTGACGCATTTGCTCTCCTTCCACTGTGAAGTCACTGGACATGGATGCTTCTGGGTTCTGTTACTGTTATTCTTCTGGGAAGCCTGAGTCTCATTTTTTGCTTTTGGGAGCCATGAGGATAGCCAGGCCTCTGTGCCCACTGGGTAGAAGTGACACTTGGTGTGGAGAGCAAGATGCTTGTGAATCCATGGGGCAATCATTAATATGCAGCTGGCCTCTGTTCTTGTCCCCTGCAGCTGTCTTTTTTTTTTTTTTGGACATTTTGGGACCTTACTATATTTTGATATCAGTTCCAGTTCTACTTGCTTGTTGTTTACTGGTTGTGTTAAAGAAGAAAAAAGAGAGAGAGAAAGAGGAAGCAACGTAGGGTGTGATGAAGGAGGAGCAGGCAGGGGTGAGAAAGATCAGGAACATCCCTGTCCCACCAGACATTGCAAGGAGAGGACCTGCAGCACCTGCCAGGGAGAAGGCACAGGGCACTTGGCAGCTGCTCAGGACAGAAACTTCAGGATGGTCTTCACCTCAGCAGCAGCTGTGGGCTGTTGTGTTTCACACAAGAGTAGAGTTGCATGCACACACCTGCAAGCACACTCACTTATACACACATACTCCAGTGTACCCACATACGCCTGCATTCATACATGGTGGCACACACACACAGACACACACACACACACACACGACTACATGCACACACCTGCACATACACTCATATCTGCATACACAAGCAGTGTCCAACCATGTCACCTTGGGGAGGCAGTTATGGGGAGAAGCACAGCTGTCCTCATCCAGAGACATAGCAAGGAAAAATGCTTCCTTCCTCAGGTTCATTCTCTTCAGAAAGCCAGGATTAAGCTTTGCTCCTCACAGTGTTTTCAGACAAATTCTGAAAATGGCAGAGCTGCTTGAACAGAAGGGACTCTCTGGACACTGTCTCTCAAAGGAAGGCAGGCATCTGTTTTGTTTAGGTTGTCTTCCTGTTGCTGTGATAAAACACCCTGACACAATCAACAGAAGGAAGGCAGGGTTTATTCCAGCTCACTGCTCAAGAGTGTGGCCGATCTTAGCAGAGACGTCAGGGTGGCAGGAGTTTTAAGTATCTAGTCACATCACAGGCACAATCAGGAAGCCAAGGGTGTCAAAGGACAGTGCTTGGCTTGATTTCTCCTTTTTATACAGCATGGGGAAGGGTCACCCACTTTCACTGTGGGTCTTCCCTCTTCAGTTAACCTAATTAATCCTTTGCTCGTGGGCATGCCCAGAAGCTAATGATTCCTCAAAGGCATGGTTGGAGGTTCACTTTCTAGATAAATCCAGATCTGGTGAGGTTGACTCTTTACAGTGGCCATCACAACTGTCTAAGGCAAATAGTGCTTCCTCAAAGACTTCCTAAGAAGCTTGATTGTCCAGGTGCAGAACAGAGCCATAAGTTCACCATTTGATCTCTAAGCAAGTGTGAGCTTGAGGCAGAGTGAGTGAGCAGGGGCCTGGCAGTCAGGGAAGCTCATCTGGCCACCTGTGTTCTCAGGGCCACCATCCGAGCGAGGGCCACCATCTGAGTAAGACTTATGTATTCCCAGATCTTCAGTCCCTGGTTGAAGATAGAGATTAGAGTTTACTGCACATCTCAGGGGTTCCTTTCCTAGAAGACTGAGTCTCACTTTGGTTTGCAATCTTCTTCTAGGATATGGTGAAAGGCCAGGTGTCAGGTAGGCTCTGTGTCCACAAAGAACATTAGAAACTCGGTACTCCCATGGGGCATGTCTAGCAGAAGTCCTCAAGGGACATGGGACATGTGTGGTAGGAAGTGAGTCTTTCCAGAGAGGACTTTAGGCACAGACCTGTGGGGCTAAGAGGAGCTTCTCTATGTCTTCTGAAGACATGATGAACCCCTATCTCTGGAAGAAGGACAGTGGGTAGAGAGAAGCCAGCGGGCAGAGGTGCTGGCTCCACATGCTTTCCTTTGACGTCACCATCAGTTCTGGCAGCAGTCAGCAAACAGATGCCATTCACTCGACTTCACAGAAGGAAGCCAAGTGCCAAGAGATGCCAGGAGCTTTCACTAATTCATCCAAAGTGTAGTCTTTGAGCATACACCGTGCATTTGGCTCTACTTCCGGGCTGGAGACATAAAGATGGCCAAGCACAGCCTACCCTGTGAAGCACAGAATTGCCCCCAGCATGTATGACCAAACATATCCCTGCCTTGTGAAGCAGAGAATCCATAGAATTGCTCGCATTATACACACACACACACACACACATACACACACACACACACACACACAGTCTTTCATTCTCAGTGTAATTCCAAAACAATTTAAACTGTACAGGTTGAATCGTGCCAGGCAAGAGAAGTCCTGCCCATGGGTCTAGCTCTCAAATACCCATCTGGACCTGAGTAGAGAGCCAAGACCCCCCACTGTTCTGGAACCCTAAGATCTGAGGAGAGACTTCAAGCCCCTGAGCTTGTTCAGAAACTCCTTTCCTTAAGAGAGACAGTATCAACCAGGTGTGCTTAGGACCCAGCTGTCAAAGCCTTGCTCGGACACTCACAGGATGACTCTAGACACTGGCAGGGGTGACTCTATACCAATGGCAGGCAGAGCTCCAGTAGAGACCCGGGCTGAGAATACCCAGTGGTCACAGACTGCCCCTGGCACCCTGTGACAGTGTCGGTGGCCACCTGAAAGCCAGAGCTGGGGAAGTGTAGGTAGCACCAGAAGCATGGTGCTGGGCTCCCGCTGGAGCTCTGGGGCCACTGTGCTGCGGTCATCTACTCTCCGTGTCCACTTATCTGTTGGAGGTCAATATTTAAGTCACTGGAAGAAGCACATCAGATGCTGCCGTGACCTTGAGCATCTCCTCTCAGTTGCTCCAGTGAGGAGGCAGATCTGTGCCCAGGTCCCTGTGAGCAAAGGTTAGACCTTGTAATTTATACTCCTTGCAGGGAGAACAAAGTCCACCAGTGGAGACAGAAAGGGATCATGTCTGTTTCTTGTGTTCCTGTGCTTAGGACAGGGCAGGTGCACACTGTGCAATGGGACGGAGAGGATGAATACCGAAGGGCTAGGCGGCAGAAGCCCAGCATGAGGAGGGACAGGTAGATAGTGGATGAATGGATGCATCTGTGGACAAAGCAGAAGACTGAAGCAGACAAAGAGAGGTTCGCGTAGGTGGGTGGTTGGGTGAGTAACTGGAAAAATGGCGGATACAGGGATGGGTGAGTCAGTCAGTGGGTACATGGATGAGTGGAAGGTAGGTAGGTAGGTAGACAGACAGACAGGCTGACAGACAGATGTTAGGTAGTTTAATGGGTAAGTGGGTGGATAATGCATGGGTGAATGGATGGAGGAATTGATGATTGGTGGATACATAAATAGATAAAAGACAGACAGACAGACAGACAGACAGACAGACAGACAGACAGACAGATGGCTTAGTGGGTGGGTGGGTGGATGGACAAATTGATGGGCAGGTTAGTGGATGGATACATGAGGAGATGCATGGGTCGGCGTCTGGGTGGGTGGGTGGATGGGCAGGCAGATGGGTTAGTGGGTGAGCGGAGTGTTAAAGAAAGTGAGTAGACAGAAAGGAAGAGATGAGTCTCCACAGATGCACATATGTGGCACACGGATGTGTTCAGATTTCAGTGAATTAATTATAGGAGGGATTGAAGGAAGGAGGGAAGAGATGCAAATTACCTTCAGGGCTGACCTCTTGCCTATTCCTACATTGCAGACCTGTAAGCTGCCCTTTGTTTCCTCAGACATTATCTTGCCTGGTCCTCACGAATTAGAGGGGTATGGTGGTATTTTTCCCATTTTACAGATCAGGAAACTGAGGCTCAAAGTTGTTATAGAAGCAACCTACCAACAATGCGAAATGCCTGGTGAATCTGCATACCTGCCACACTTTGTAGTATTTGCAGAGGACCTTGTTAAGTCTCCACAGAACATTCCCCTCAGTAAGTGGAGGATTATTCTGGACCCCAGAGTGGCACTGTGCTAGAGCGTATCTGGTAGTGTGTTATCCGTAGCTATATGAAATCTTGAAAACCCATGGCCTGGACTACCAGGGTGGGATTTCATATCCTGAAGAGTCCCTGGGATGGAGCCTCTGGTGGAGCAGAACTGTCAGAGCCCAGAGTGGCCACAGGACACTTTCCCTGTGCCCTTGGTCAGAGCTGGTACATTAGCCACAGTCTGTGCTGCTGCCCGGTGACAGCCATTGCCTGAGCACCGAGAGTCACACTGCCCACCTCTCTGAGTGCCTCCACGGAACCTCCCCAGCAGGTCTGTAGTTCATTGGCCTCTGGATGTAGAGAGAGCAGAGGGTTTATTTTCAACGAAAAGAAATCAGTCTCTTGTACTGGGAGATACAGCAGCCACCGGGGGAGACACAGAGTCAGCATGTCTAGAATGGAAGTACTCAGTCTTCAATTTTGGCCCTATCTTGTCAAGGTCCTGTAGCCCAGTCCCCAATGTCCAAGCTCTCTGGCCTGGTGTCAGTTTTGTCCTTGGTGGTGCAGGAGGCAGGGCGCTCCAAGAGACGGGCAGGGCTGAGCCCACCGAAGGCTGCAGGTAAGAAGCCCGCCTGCTCTCCTCCCTGAGCTCAGCCCTAGCTGGTGAGGATACCAGGGCTTCCAGAAATTGCTGTGTGCACGGGTTTAGGGTAGATCTTGGTAGGTCTTCCTGTACTGACTGGGTCCTGAAATAGACCAGCATGCCTTGCATGGTTTCTTTGTTTACTCCTGGGAACAGGGTCAGCCCAGTGGGACAACAAAATGCTGCCAAGTGTCTTCTTGGTAAACACGCTGCTGTGTCGTGAACTCTTGCTCCCCATGAGCTCATCTCTGGGCATACTGTCATTCTTTGCTGATTCTCAAGGACTCTTCTGGTGGCATAGCTCAGGGCTGGGCAGGTAGCTCAATGGGCCGGGGTGGGGGAGGAGAGCCTGAGTTTATGTCACTCTCAGCCCTTCACTTCACTTCATGCTGGTTTCAAAAGTGAGGCACCTCCCTGAGCCTCAGTCTCTCCATCTGTGAAATGGGGCAAATCCCAGGTTTGAAAAGTCTGTGATGGGAAAGAAACAGTGATGCCCAAGAAGCATGCACCTGTGTCGGCCACAGGCCACCAAGATCACTGAGGCTGAGACCTTCTGTCCTTTCAGGGTCCCCTCCAAAGGTCAAAAGTATGTCCATCAAATGCCAAGCGGCTGCACCTGAGAATGTGGCTCCATTTCTCCAGGTTGGGGATGTGGCTAAAACTAAAGTGTGGTACTTGGCTCGGGACACACCCACCTCCTGGCCCACAAGTCCCTAAGGCTGCTCTAGTGTGTCACTCTTCCGGCCTGTGAAAGGCATTCACTGCATTGGCCTTTTCCAGTTTTGAGCATTATGTAAAGTAGGGCTCCAAGGACAAACACAGGGTGAACTGCCTTTACAGACTGATTTTCCCTTCCAGCCGCCAGGCGACTGGACGTGGAGGACAGCAGCTTCGACCAGGATAGCAGGAAGGTAAGGAGGGGGACCACAGCCCTGCAGAGTGGGGTGGCCATTCCAGTGAATTTCCATTTCTTCTCTCACTCTGCCCCTGGAATCCCAGGAGGCCCAAAGTGGGGGCCACACCCACCCCCTCCTTTTACCCTCAGTATGTTCTGCCAGTGTCCTGGCTCTGCCTTGTAGCCAGGCCATGGTTCTGGGACTGGGGAGATATGATCATTGAGAAAGAAAGAAACCCAGTGCATTCTAGGGTATTTGGCATGAAGATTCTAGAACAGCTTGGCAGATGGGTTTTTTGTTTATTTGTTTGTGTTTTGTTTTTTAAGTGAATGGCCAGAGAGTCGAATGTAATAATAGACCTTACTGGCATAGCTCTTTGATGTGGCCAGTTATAAAAGGATGTGGGGGCCAGGCATCACAACAGCAGGCTGGAGGCAGCGTTTGGCCATTTCTCCAGCTGCTTCATGGACTTTCAGAATGAGATGCCTTTAATGGTGAGACTGTATTAAAAGTTTGGCTTCTTGCTGTGGGGTTGGCCTGTGGGTTTGAAGTACGGAGCTACTCGAAGGTTCTGTTTTAATGTTTTCACCATTGCAGATGACCTCAGTGTTCCTATGACCTTCTTTTCCTCTGCAGAAGACAACCTGGCTGCTCCTCAAGGGGGATGCAGACACCAGAACTAACTCTCCGGACCTGGACAGTCAGTCGCTGTCCCTCAGCAGCGGGGCTGATCAAGAACCTCTCCAAAGGATGCCAGAGGACAGCCTCTACTCACGTGAGTGGCTCTTCTGAAGCACACCGGAGACTGCCAGCAAAGGGCCCCTACTGAGCAGGCCCCCAAATCTCAGCTTTACTCCCCCCCAAAAAAAAACTAAAAGCAAGAGACAGCATGTAACCCCAGCACTTGGATAACAGAATTGACAGAAAGATTGCTGTGAGTTTGAGGCCAGCCTGAGCTACATAGTGAGACTCTGTCTCAAAAATAAAATTAAAACAAAACCAAAACCTCCCAGAGAGCATGCGAATGTGAATGAAGCCAGGTAAAGATCTGAGCCCTGGCCTCACCCACCGGCTCTTGGCAGTGACATAGCTAGCTAATGTGCACACAGCGCCCCCTCGTGGTTCTCTCGGAGCAGGTAAGAAAGCAAAGAAAACCGCTCCCAGGGCCTCTTTTTCCCTGGTGACAGATGTGGTCATGGTCAGGAGGCGAGCACAGACCTGGAAACTGGTACAAGGCACTGTCCTGGTCCCTGTAACATTCTGAGAAAGCACTTGGAGATTCCCAGGAGATATGGCCCGATGTCACGGGTAACAAAGCTGACGTATGCCTAGCCTTGCGGGTGTTGTGAAGCCTGGCTTGGGGATGATTCTCAAGCATGGAGTAAACTCCCATCATGTTGTTCACTGAAGATGCTGTAGGTCCCAGGCAGAGCCAGCACAGGCTGCAGGCAGGCTCCTTCTCACACAGAAGCAGCCTCTGATCTAAGCTGGGCAGGAGGTTGTTTTCCATGGCTGTGGCTGAAGTTGGAAGTGCAGGTCATGGGAATCTATGCTGTGAGAGAGCAGAGGGAACCCCTGGCTGGCATCATGCTGGTACCGACTCCGAGTGAAATCAGGGCTCCCTGCTCACTGGCTTATGATGGAAGCCAGAGTAGCAATGCTGACTCTCAGGTCACTAGGCACTGGGCATACAAGAGCGCTTTGCCTGGCCAGCAGTAGACAGCATGACTGTTCTTACGACCCTCACTCCTGACCATGCATGACACTATTTGACCACTACACACAGGAAGTGCTCTACAGGGGAGGGACGAGTGGAGGTGCAACTGGAAACTGGGATGTTGTTCTGTGGGGAGTCTTTGTAAGCAGGTGATGTCCCTTGGGATCTCAGAGCATGCACATAAGGCTGATGTCAACGTGAGAAGGCACACTAAGTGTCCCCACAGGTCCGGGTCTCCTATAGGTTCTTTTGGGGAAGAGCTAACTGAAGGCATGGTGAGAGGAAGTAGAGATTCCCCTGCCTGTGTCTACTGAGATCATCCATCTGCACTCTGTCCCAAAGATCCTTGTCCCAGGTGGTTGCCTCATGCTGGGTGTGCAAATGTGCTTTGTGGGACTTTGCTTTGGGCAATGGAGCCTCCTCAACAGAGTAGAACGTAGTTGCCCATAACCGTTGCTGTCTTGTCTAGTGTCCTGGCATCTGGGCATTACCTGGGGACTAGAATATGATGTTGGTATTTCAGGATGGTCTTTTTCAGTGTCTGCTCCTTGCTCTGTTAGGGGAGTGCCTGGTTCCATTCCTGTGACCTCAACTCAGACTCTCCCCATGGCTTTCAGCTTGTGCCCCCACCAATTGCCACTGGAACTTATGAATGCCTGAGACTCAGGACTGAGGGAGGCAGGACACAGTGTGGGAAGAAGCCGAGCTGTAGATGTCACCTCTTGAGGTCCTGCTTTGGCTGTCGCCATGCAGTGTGGACTGTGCATGTACCCTATACCTTCCTACTGTACTTTCTAGTCTACAGGTGCTAGTACAAGGGTGTACATCCTAGGCACTTTTGAGCGTGCTGGTCTCTGTAAGGCAGGCTATATCTGGTATCTTCACCGGTCATCCCCACAGTGACAAGGGCTTGTCTGTCTATTGCATCCCTCTGTTGCATCCCCACAGCAAGCCAACGTGAGTGGTGCAGACAGGAAGCAGCTGTTATGTATGTGCACTTGGCCTACAGGAATCCAGCCACCTGTGCTGGCACCTGTGCCACAGCTGAGGAGCAGTCTGCACAGCAAGGACACCACCATTCGTGAGGGTTTGAACTACTCCACCTGTCATGTCCCAACAGTCGTGACTACATCCTCCTGCCTCTGCCTTTCTCCTGGTGTCCTGACTTCATGTCGCCGGAGCAGGAAACCCACAGGGTCTAGCATTGCACCTGTGCCTTTACCTGCATCCCAGTGTGCTCCCTCATGGGACTGGCAGGCACTGCTCTCCTACCAATGGTTGCATGTTTCATTATAGACACATTTCCTGGCTCTGTGGGAGGGGTCATTGATAACTACCCAAGTCTGCACGAAAAGGGACAGGGTTGGTTTTTGTTGTAAGAAGAGAATCTTGAAGGCCTTAGAGTGAGACTTGATGTCCTGAGTTCCATCCCCTAGCTTGTACATTGTGGACACATGTCCTTTGGACCCCACATTCTTAATCTTTCTGGTCCAATCCTCTCTTTTGGGGTCCCTTACTTACACATGTGAGTACAGATATGCACACACAGACACAGACATGGTAGTCAGAGATCTGGTGATGTAATTCAATCATTTGAGTCACAAAAGATACTACCCAGGGGTCACAGTGATTCCTAGCAAGGCCCCAAAGTTTTCAGAAGAGTAAACCCTTGCTTTACATCACCAGGTTGAGAGGAAGGTGGGAGGAGTGGGCTCAGGAACTTAGGGACAAATGAGACTCTCTGACTTAGCGATTCAGGAAATACAAGGGAAACCTCCCAGGGGTCACTTAATGCCAGACTGCCCTGTGCCATTGACATTGGTGTCACCTCCGTGTCCTCCAGCATGAGACCCCTGTGGAATATGGAATGCTGGATGTGCCAGTGTCTGCTGATTAGCTCACTGCCATCCGCCTTGAGCCACTCAGCAGCAGCCAGCTGCAGGACAGGTTTCTGTGGCTCTGTTCTTCCCCAGTGGAAGGAAGGAAGGAAGGAAGGAAGGAAGGAAGGAAGGAAGGGAGGGAGGGCGGGAGGGGGGGAGGGAGGGAGGGAGGGAGGGGGGGGGGGCGGCAGGAAAGAAGGAAGGAAGGAGGAAGGTCCACACTTTGCCTTTTATTCTTTGACCTCTGGAGAGTTCATGGTGAGAAGGAGTTGTCCCTCATTGCCTTGTCTGTGGTTATAAAGAGCAAGCTCCTCCTGGCCTGTCAGTCTCCTGGGAGCACTGAGAGTGGCAAGCAAGCACCCGGTGGTAGAGCTGTGACTGAGAGCCCTAGGTGACAGAATCTGCAGGTATCAGAACTGGAAGATCTTTGACATTTCCAGTACCAGATTGGGGTCCAAACAGGCAGGAGTAGTCCAGTCATCTAGCACACAGACCTTGAGCACCTTCTGTGTCCCAGCCCTGTTCTAGGCATGGGACCAGAGCTAAGCTTGGCCTGTGGAGCTGCAGTGAGGTGGGACCAGTCAGGCGGTGTGTGAAGATTGGTAGCTAGAGCATGCTGGGAAGGGTGCCATGGAAACAGAAGAAGTCCTCATGGAGGCCAGTGCCCAGAGACCTCAAGATGTGGTCCTGAAAGCAAAGGGTTCTTGGGAAGGAAGGAACCAGCCAAGGACAGATGCAGGGCTAGCAAACTGTGTGGCCAAGTTACTGTTACCAGCCCCTACCCTACCCTGTGCAATGACAGCCCCTGAGGACTTAAGGTTTCTCCCATGGGACCAAGTTGTCTGGAAAGTGATGGGAAGTGGCTGCCAGCATCTGTGTTAGCGAAGTATTCTGGGCAATGCACGGTACACATGAGTGTCTGTAGATTGGCTTCTACAGAGCCTCAGGGAGAGAGACACAGTGGTATAGCAGGAGAGGGACTAGCCAGATACAAGATGGGAGCTACAAATGTGTTCAGGAAACCATGAGAGGGATTGACACAGAATATCACATTAATCTGTGTCTGTCCAGCTAGTAGAGCCCCAGCTAGTCACTGCTGTGTGAATTTGGGCCCCCTAACAAGCCTGGGTAGTATGAGATTCCCTCATCTACAGGCCCAACCCAGGAGTTGAGGGGTGGCCATTGCCTGAAGGGCCTTATATAACCTAGGATCATGAGCATACAGCTGTGAACTTTCTTAGGGTCTTCTGTCTTTTATACCAGCCTCTTCCTGTGCATGCCCACCTCTCTCTCATGGCCCCACACTCTTGAAGGTCATCTGACCTTATCAGACATACAGGTTCCTAGAAGATCTGCTTGGGCCATTTGATCTCATACAAATCACTTGACCTTCCTAGACCCCAGCTTCCTTGTGTTCAGGACACAGAGGCCCCTGAGTGTGGGATTGAACCGTTGGATGTGTGAAGGGGCTTTAAATACAAAAGTTATCTGCTCCGGTGCACACAAGACTCTGGAACCTTTAAAATCACACAATGGCAGGGCCCTCCCTAAGACAGATTAGCAACTCTGAGGGCAAGACCACCGTAGATACACCTGTCTGGCTCTCTTTGCTAAGCACACCTAAAAGGAGGGGACTACAGCAAAGCAAACCGCCACAGGTGGGAGGGGAAGGAAGGCTGGCCACCTCTATAGGGACAGGTTATGGAGATGGAGTAAGAGGCCAGCAGAGAGGAGGCCCAGGAAAATGGTCTTTATGTATCACTAGCTTTTTCTGCCTCCCAGCTGATGGGAAAAACACACAGGCAGCTGTGGCAGAGACTGGGGGCAGAGTGGGGGGGACACCAGCGACCCTAAGCAAGTCAAGAAGAATGGAGTAGCTTATTAATCAGCACTCCGAAAACCAACGACCACAGGGTCAATCTGTATGCCAGGCTCTGAACACTGGGTCCAACGGAACTGTGGCTTGCTAAAATGGAAGCCTACGTAAGACCCCATTTTTTTTATTACAACATTTGAATATCCAGGATGCAATCAACAATGACTTGCAGCACCTGGAACTGTGATGGTAGCATCCAAACGAGGACAAGAGTCAGCAGACTCAAAGGGACACTGGACAGAGTCAGAGCTGACGTCACCTGAGGAGTAAGGAGTCTGAAATACATGATGTCAAGATGCTGC